TGTTCTTTGGAAAAGTGATGGAGCTTGCTTCCAAGCAAGGGGATTCTGATCTATGAGTGTTCCACTGGCCATATGTCATCACCAACTAATTGTATATCTGCAGGAGTGACTAAGAACACACTGAGCTTTCATATCCATGGCCACATCAATTTCACCCACAAAAACCAGCAGGGACTCAATTTTAAAAACTAGAATCAAAGGCGATCAAAATTTATTTACCTGCTGTGTAATCACACCTATACAAAGGTGCTTCCTTATATACATACAATAAGCATGGGGTGGGGTGGGTGAATACAGAGATCTGCACATAGACAGAAGCTGGGAGTACACAATCACCTCATCAACGGCTAGGTAACAGAAAGAGACACCGGGGTTCCTATAAACAGGTGATTTGTCTCACATCATAAGATCTGATAATATGTTGGAAAAATTACTACATAATTACGGTGAAGCTCCAAGAGATGGCAGGCATTTGGAGTGGAATGAGAACATTCTTCAGAGTAAAGCTCCTGTGAGATACAGAACGTACACTTCTAGCACTGTAGTTTGTTACACAGGACAGCATATGCTTCTGTAGCCCACTTTTCCAGTGATAGAATCCATCACTCATGGTTAATTCCTCCAGAAGAGAACAATCTTTCTCCAAATTATGGCTTTCATATTGGTCTTATACTTGAATCTATTTAAAATTTAATTAAAATGCCTAGCCAATTACTGTACTTAAAAGGGGACTTGCACAAAATGTAGTATATCCTCACACTCAAGCAAGTTAATTTTCCAACAAATGCTCAACAACACGTCTTAGCTCCAAGTGTTCTGAGCATGTGCTAGTCCATATTTACCTGCTTTGGGGAATATTAACCCTCTTTTGATATTAAAAAAAGATTTATTCATATGTATACAAAATTCATGTTTCTCCAAGTTTATTAATACTTCCACTTGTTTCTAAGTAATCCTGACTGGGTTCCATTTCTCTTGGCCTTGTAGGCTAGAATCCTATTACTTACATCAGCATAAGTCCAGTGACATACATTTCAGCAGTGAATTGTTGCCACTTGCTAAGTCGAAGCTTGTGTTTCTTATTGCATGCCAAGTCACGTGTCTGATGTGCGACAAAAAAAATGAGTGTGCCCTTCCTACCTAACAGCAGTTTGCCACTGAGATTTAAACAGGTATACACAGAGTGAGATTTAGTAACTTGCTTACCTGTTGTGTTCTTACATGTGCTTGAGTCCTTTAAAAACAACAGGGCTGCCCTTTTTCTTTTCTTTTTCCCCAAAAAGTCAAGCAACCTTCAAAAAAACAATGGCCAGAATCCTGTTGGGTTACAGGATCATGTAAGGGCAATTGCATAAGCAGAGGAAAGCATTTTGCCAGCTGTCTGTTGTGCATCTCGTCATCCTTTGGTCACCCAGTTGATCACACAACTGGTCAGTAAGGAACAGTTGGCAAACGATGAAAACTGCTCGTTCTTAGATGATGATGATTAATTTTCCTTCTGTGTACAATTTTTCCAATATAATTTTTACCATTTTATTTAATATCCATCTTTGATGGTTACATTGGTGCACAGAAATAAATCAAAATAAAACAAAAACTGTTAAGCATTAAAAAGATATGATAGCAAGTAAATGTCATCTTGCAATACGATTAAATGACTTGCAAAGAAGGAGTTTTTTAAACAGTAAATACAAGATATAGATTCGTGAAAATATAGGCCCTGCACATTTATACAAATTGTGAGTTTCTCCCCTGTCCTGAAGAGATAACTCTCTTTTTCTGCATGAGAGGATTAATCATTCAGTCCTCATTCTGCCTCACCTGTCAGAAAGGATACCGGTTCTCAGTAAGGTTATTGCCATACTGAGACAAACGATTAGTAATTCTGAGCCATCCTGATTTAAATCAATCCTGGCAAAGAGCTCCATGCAGATTCTGCATCCCATTCCCCAGTCTATCTATATACTATCACACAAGATAAACTGTTGGCAATACCAACCAGAGAGGTACTGTATATCTTAACTGAAACAAAAACCCGTGGGAAATTCTGAGCCCTGGAATTCTCAGACATTTGACAGTGTGGCCTTGGTGAGCTGCTTTGCAGAGGTTTCATCATAATCTAATACAGTTTGTTGCTCATGGCAGCTTGCATTGACCAAAATGCTAGGATTCTACATAATATAAGGAGCAAAAATGGCGCAGTATAAAATAGATCCAGCAGATAAAAAACAAATTTATCTCTTATAGTATCCATTTCTTAGCAAGGTAAACATTAAATAATAAGGAAAAGGTTGGTGTGATAGAAGCTGTTCTGTAAGAAGGATCATTTTTCCATTATACCTTTCAGCTCCCATATAGGGATATATTTGTATATAATTGCCTTTAAAGTGAACAAAAATATTTTCATGGACTTCAACATGTTACTGATGTTTACATCAAAAACAGTGAGTCCTGTGACACCTTGAAGACTAGCAAGTTTTACCATGTTTCCCCCAAAATAAGACAGTGTCTAATATTAATTTTTGCTCCAAAAAAGCATTAGGGCTTATTTTCAGGGGATGTTTTATTATTATTTTTCATGTACAACAATCTACATTTATTCAAATACAGTCATGTCATATTCTTCTGGTTGCTTTACAATGGTGGAGAACAGGGTTTCACTTAATTAGGGCTTATTTTTGGAATAGGGCTTATATTATGAACATCCTGAAAAACCATACTACAGCTTATTTTCAAGTTAGGTCTTATTCTTGGGGAAACAGGGAATTTGGCATTGGCTCATGTGGCCTCCACTCCATTTCTTTGGGTTCCTCACAGCTCTCTATGTGTTGTCAGAGGACAGTCCTTTGTTTAAAGTCATCCTCTATTTGAAGGGCTGTTGGGTTGGGTTCAAATCCAGTTTAAGGGGAAAGAGGACAAGAAGGAATTGCAGCATTGGCTCACGTAGCCTCCACTCCATTTCTTTGGGTTCCTCACAGAGAACAGCTCTCTATGTGTTGTCAGAGGACAGTCCTTTGTTTAAAGTCATCCTCTATTTGAAGGGCTGTTGGGTTGGGTTCAAATCCAGTTTAAGGGGAAAGAGGACAAGAAGGAATTGCAGGGAACATGGTCATCTGTAGTAGACACTGGAGGACAGACTGAAAGGTCATTTGGTTAAGCCTTCCCTTCCATGTAGGATTTATACAAGCATATCTTGATTTCACTAAGGCCTTCGACAAAGTTCCTCACTATATTCTTGCAAAGAAGCTAGTAGAATGTGGGATATATAATGCTACTGTTAGGTGGATTTGTAATTGGTTGACTGACCGAACCCAAAGGGTGATCACAAATGGCTCCCTTCATCCTGGAAAGAGGTGACTAGTGGGGTGCCCCATGGTTCTGTTCTGGGTCATATGTTATTCAACAACTTTATCAATGACTTGGATGAAGGAATAGAGAGCATGTTGATTAAATCTGCAGATTATACCAAATTGGCAGGGGCTGCTAATTCCCCAGAGGACAGGATTAAAATTCAAAATTACCTTGACAGATTAGAGTCCTGGGCCAAAACTAACAAAATGAATTTCAACAGGGAGAAATGTAAGGTCCTACACCTAGGCAGAAAAAATGAACTGCACAGATATAGGATGGAAGACATCTGGCTAGACAACAGTACTTGTGAAAGTGATCTAAGAGTTTTGGTAGACCACAAGCAGTGTGACACGACTGCCGAGAAAGCCAATGCGATTCTTGGTTGCATCAATAGGAGTATAGTGTCTAGGTCAAGGGAAGTGATAGTACTACTCTATTCTACTTTGGTCAGACTTCACTGGAGTATTGTGTCCAATTCTGGGCACCTCAATTCAAAAAGGATGTTGACAACCTGGAATGTGTCCAGAGGAGGACGACTAAAATTGTTAAAGGTTTGGAAGCAATGTCCTACGAGGAGCGGCTTAGGGAGTTGGGAATGTTTAGCCTTAAAGGTTGAGAGGGGGCACGATAGCCATGTTAAATATTTGAAAGAATGTCATGTTGAAGAGGGGACAGGTTTGTTTTCCAGGGCTCCAGAGACTAGGACACGGAGCAATGGTTTCAAACTACGGGAAAAAAGATTCTATCTGAACATTAGGAAGAACTTTCTGACTGTCAAAGCTGTCCACCAGTGAAATAGGCTGCCTCGAAGGGTGGTGGAGTCTACTTCTTTGAAGGTTTTTAAGCAGAGGCTGGCCATCTGTTGGGAGTACTTTGATGGATGATCCCGCATGGCGTGGGGTTGGACTAGATGGCCTCAGTGGTCTCTTCCAACTCTATGACTCTAAAGTATAATAATTATTTCTAAATTTGCATCTATACATATAAACTAAAATAAGGAAATGGTATCCAGATCTGTATCTTATATTCTTTTCATAATGTACTCATATTTCTTCTTTTCTGGTAGTGACTTGCTAACTTTAAGCCAAAGCAACATACAAAACAGTTGTAACCACAAAATACATTACTACTGTTGCATGTCCATCTAATTATTCATTTTCTATCTGTAACACTTTTCTGAATATTTGGAGTTGGAATGGAGATAACAGTATATCTGTTCAGGTGTTTTATTAATGCGCAAATAATGCAGAACAACAGTTAGGAAGTAAGATGTAGCCACTGCATAAACTGAGAAGATGGACACTTACTGTAGCCTGGAAAAATGGTTTTGACTACAGAAACAAAGAAATAAATAACACTGCATTCATATCTGTGCTTATTCAGAAGCAAGGCTGATTTAATTTATTAACTTTTTACCAGTTAGCCATTTCTAGGATTGCAGTTTCAGTCTTTCATAGTCTTCTGCCTTAATCCAAATATACAGCAATGCAGTGAAACCAATATTTAATGAAGTTGCAGAGGTTTTTTTGTTAGAGTTAAACAGAAACACTCCTGAAGAGAAAAAAATCAACCGGTGTAAACAACAATGTCACAAAGATTTTATTGGCTTTGAAAAAGTGGTGCATTTTAATTCAGTTTTTTTTTTCTAGGAAAAAGACAAAAGAAGTTGAAAACCATCAAAGCGAACTCCAAAAATTGTCATCTGAAATTGGAAAAGCTGAATCCAGGTAAAAGTTACAAATGCAGAAATTGCACTGAAATATGGATAAGTAAAACCTCCCATTCAAAACAGTGGTTCCCAAAGTTGGTTCTTAGATGTTGTTGGACTATGTCTTCTAAAACCCTTGATGACTGACCATGATTGATGGGGCTTCATGGTTTGAATTGTTTGTATGTTTATTTAAACTTTTCTTTTTCTTTTTCTTTTCTTTTTCTTTTTTGTATTTGCTGTTTTCATCTGGGGAGCCATGTTTGGAAACCACTGATTTATATCATGTTTTATAGTTTGTCTTTCTTTCTTTCTTTCTTTCTTTCTTTCTTTCTTTCTTTCTTTCTTTCTTTCTTTCTTTCTTTCTTGTTCATTTTATGTGTGTTATTTTGGTTCCTTAATTTTTTGTTTTATTTCTGAATTACCTTTTCACTACAAATGTCCAAGGGGGAAGCTCTTTTCATTTCATTTTATTTTTTAATTCCCACCTACTCTCCCCTTCCCCTGTTTGTTCTAATTTTACTTTCCCTGATTCCTGTCTTTTTCTAAACTGTGAGCACAGCTGTGGGCAGCAGGAATGGTGTGGGTTTTCTCCCCTGAAGTTTGTGTAAACCTTACACATTAAACATATTAACATCATTGATAATGTTTTAAAATCTCATTTCTCTTTTGTTTCATCTGTTTGCTGGTTTACTAGAGGAAAGCCCTTTGCATAATGTTTGAATTTACTGTAAGGTCCGTGTGAAAATACATTTTAGATATACATACTGAATGTTGAAATTGAGAAATGTGGTCACGTTTGCTTTTAGGTTTAATCATGCTCTGACGGAACGAGAACAATCTTTGCATGCCTGCCAACAAGTATGCCGACGTTTACAGGAAGAAGTAATTGAGAAAGAGAGGAAAGAAGAAGATCTTAAAAAACAAGCCCAGTATTTGGAGAGTGAACTGGAAACAATTAAGAGTCTTCTCAAGCAGCGAGAGGAAGAAGTGGTAATGCTTAAGCAAGAAAGGTAATCAGAAATGACTGATCAGGCGTGTCGTTACAGGACAGGATGTTCTGCCTAGATTTCTGAGAATATCGTCGAACTAAAAGTCCCCCCCCCACATTGACTCGTTGCAGTTTTTCACACCCCAAATAAATCATTGCAGATGTAATTTTGGTGCAATTAACACAATGTATTTTAAAAGAGAAAAATGATATTTGTAGAATAATCCTAAGAATGTACAAGCTGGCTAGATAGCTCAGTGATTAAGATAACTGGCTACAGAGCCTGAGGCTGGGAATTCAATTCCGCTCTGCGCCTCCTGTGAGTATCAACAACCCATGTAGCCTTGGGCAGACTTCACAGTCCTAGGGTGCTCCCTAAAAGAAGGGAGCTCACTTCTGTGTATTTTCTGTCTAGAAAACCCTGAAAAGAGTCGCCATAAGTTAGAATAGACTTGGGAGCACATGTTGTTGTTGTTGTTGTTAAGAATGTATAAGCAGGAACAATCACATGGGACTCAGGGGAGCTTCCTCTGTAGTAAGTATATTTAGGATTGCAGCTATAACTGTGTAGGGTCTCTAGCACAAATGGTCTGAATCTAGGGGATGTTGATTATGTTCAGGTCCTTTTAAAATCAATTGGAGAAGTGAGCTGCAACTAACAGAGCCCTAACATCTTTCCAGTGGAATTTAAGCATGACTGATTTCCCCTGGATTGGAGGAAATGGCGCAGATATTCAGCCATTGACCACTCAGCCTCACTATACTTGCTCAACCTGGTGTAGGTACTGTATTTTTCCATATACAAGACCCCACTTTTCTAACTCAAAATGTCTTTCTTTGCAAGAAAGTGGAGGGGGAAGGCAGGGATCAAAGTGCTTTCCCCCTCCACTTTCTCGTGAAGAAAGTGCTTCCCCCCTCCACTTTATTTGCAAGAAAGTGGAGGGGGAAAGCAGGAATCATAAAACTTTGATCCCTGCCTTCCCCTTCCACTTTCTTGAGAATAAATAAATTTTGGGTTAGAAAAGTGGAGAGGGGGTCTTATACATGGGGGTGTCTTATACATGGAAAACTATGGTATCTTCCTTTTTGGTAGTGTGTAAGTAACCATACACATCCACTTGTGTGTGTTCATGCATACCCGCAAACATGGTTTTCCTGGCTAATCAGCCCTTTTATTTTTAAAGTAAAATGATTCAGGGGGCATTATTTTGTAAGAAAAGATGCAAAGCAGACACACGGATAGAAGGAGATGGCATGGCCCCTTCCAAAAGGATAATAATGATATGGAGCAGTTCCATAGTAAAAAATTACTCAGTTCAGAGACTTAGGCAGTCAAGAATTAGACCCATAGAAAATAATAAAACTAACTAACTAGATCTATGCTTACAAAAAGTAGCATGGTTCTAGTGCACACACTGAGTTTAACAGAGTAATAGGTACACATAGGTTTATACATTGAAAGACAAAGCTTAGCTAGCTAGGCTTAAGCTGCATAAATGAATCATTATTCTGTTTTTCTTATATCCCATCATCCCCTTCCTGGATGGGTTAACTCTTTCAACCAATCAGATTGTGTTCTTTCCCAGCCTAGCTAATTGACAACTTCTGGAAAAGTGGCTAACCAGATATCGCAGGTGTCACTAATTTCAGTACAGTACTATGATACTCCAAGGAAAGATGATTTTCAGAACATTCTTTCTAACTCCAATGCTGCTGATAAAGCTCCTATACAGGCACAACCAGTCTCTAATTAGGAGGTGCTTCCCTCTTCCTGTCCAGTTCATCTCAGCCACCAAGCACAGCTTTTCACAGACTTCAGTGAATGAATTAACCCTCTCCTTGTGGTGGCGCTGTGGGCTAAACCGAAGAAACCTGTGCTGCAGGGTCAGAAGACCAAGCAGTCGTAAAATCGAATCCATGTGACGGAGTGAGCGCCTGTCACTTGTCCCAGCTCCCGCCAACCTAGCGGTTCGAAAGCATGCAAATGCGAGTAGATAAATAGGGACCACCTCGGTGGGAAGGTAACAGCATTCCGTGTCTAAGTCGCACTGGCCGTGTGACCACGGAAGATTGTCTTCGGACAAAACGCTGGCTCTATGGCTTGGAAACGGGGATGAGCACCGCCCCCTAGAGTCGAACATGACTGGACAAAAATTGTCAAGGGGAACCTTTACCTGCTAGTTTCAAGACATAGCCCACTGCATAAACTGATAATATGCAGCAGTAAATGCTGCTGTCTTATCACTTAGCAGTGATCTGTGGGGACAGAGAGTTCCTGACATCCTTATAATATAAACTCATTGGAAAGAGAGGATGTCTGCACTGCCTTTTGGTTCCTTGTGACATCTGACAGGAAGGATATCACACAACATTAGTTGAAGTTCAGTAGCAGTGGCTACTTATTTGGTATCACTCTGCCATCCTTGAGTAATACTGTTCCTTAAATCACTGATGTGAGTTCAAGTCAACATGGGTTTAGTTTTGAGTTCAGAGTTCACATGACAGTGTAGTCTTGGTCAGCTATTAAAAAGTGTGTTTAATTAACATGTCAGGAAAGGGAAGACGCTAGCCCCATGCCCCTCTGATGTCATTTCTGGCATCCTCCTGTGGATGGATGGAGGGCAATGAGTTTGAATGGGAAAGTCTCCACTGTCTACAGATGTTCTCCATATGAACTGGAACCTTGATTTGCTCAGGTTCCAACTCCTGTGGAAAGTCTCCACAGATAGTGGGAAATCTCCTGTTCAGACTTTCCCCTCCACACATGGGAGGTCAGTGCAACCGGACACAGAAGGGACAGAGATAGCAACCTTCTCTTCCTCATGTGGTGCATGCACATGGTTTTAATGTATTGGTTTATCCTTCTTTCATTTCTGGGAATTGTGTGTACGGAAGAATTATTCATGTAACATGTATATGCATATATTTCTAAATGTGCTATGAGAAATGTTTGTTGGTCACTTCTGGTGAATATTTCCAAATACGATTTGAAAACGTCACAACAGAATTTGTAAAAATCATTTTGCTGAGTAGTATTACATATGGGGCAGTTTGCATTTTCTTAAGACTGAAAGTTCATAATAATCGCAAAAATCGTTGGGACATCACCTTACTTCTGCAGAATTGCTGCAGAATCATGGCTTGGCTTTTTTTTTTAACTGCCTTTTTTCATGCTTGGCTTCCCTTCCCCACCAACTGCATTATTAGGGCAAGAACGTGGATGCAACCAGAGGTGCTTGTGCAGAGCCTGACAGAGATGAAGCTGTTAATGCATAGGGGAGTCCCATGCACACATAAATCTGTTGCATGTGCAGACTACCAGTGCATGAACACTTCTCATTCTTTCCAGGGCTTGGATGCTGGCTGAGAGGTTCTGGGAGTTGTAGTCCAAAGAAGTATATTGTCTAATATCTCATTCAAAGAACTCAGTAGGAACTTTCTGAAGCTGGCACAAGAGATCAGCTTCTTTCCCTCCAAATAAGGTCTGTAATGCTGTATATTAAGAAAATGTTAGCAGTCTTAATACTTGGGGTAGGCAAAGTGCAGTTATCCAGATATGACTGCACTGCAATTCCCATCATCTTTCACTGTTAGTTGTATAGGGTATGGTTGCTAGGAGTTGCAATCCAACAACATCTGGAGATCCACAGTTGACCACTGGTTCTTCAATCTTAGTTCTGATTTTAGTTCTAATTTTAGAACTGCAGAGCTAGAAGGGACTCTATGGGTCATTGAGTCTAGCCCCTGCCCAAGAAGCACAGTGGGGCATCAAATTCTCAGCCTCTGGCTCTGCAGCCAGATACCTAAACGACTGAGCTATCCAGCCGTAATCTGTTGTTGTTATGTGCTATCAAGTCACTTCCAATTTACGGCAACCCTATGAATGAGTGGTCTCCAAAATGTCCTATGTTCAACAGCCCTGCTCAGCTCTTGCAGACTCCAGCCTTTGGCTTTCTTTAGGGAGTCAGTCCATCTCTTTAGGATTTTGGCACATTCAGTCTCTGTGACTTGAAATAGTTCTACCAGTATCACATCTACTCATGGTGATTTAATCTGGGAAATCAATATTATCTAAAAAATGTCCATCCATATAGATTTGTTTTGCACATTTCTTCACAAACATTATTCAGAAGAAAACTGCTAATGGAATTGGCCCATAGTGATGGCAGTTAATTGGACTGAATTATGTTGATATAGCAGCTCTACACATTGATACAGTGAGATATGTTTCTTATTAAGATGGCTGGAAAGCTCAGTGGGTTGGGTATGCTTGGGGTTTTGATGCCCCACTGCGCCTCCCAGGTGAAGGGCCAGTCTGTATAGCCTTGCGCAAGCAGTACAATCCCAGGGCACCCCCAGAGTGACGAACTGGAAAGCTACCTCTTGAGTACTCTCTACCTAGAAAACCCTGAAAAGGTCACCATAAGTTAGAATCAACTTAACAGCACACAGTTATTATTTAGAATAGTAGTAGGCAACCTCCAGAGATATAGGGGCTGTATACTGGATGCCGAAGGGATGCAATTGCTCCTCACCCCCATACCTTTTCTTACAAAGATGAGAAGTTTTCCTCAAGAAGCTCCTTGTGCTACCTATCACCACATTTTTTAGAAAATTAAATTTGAGAAAGCACTGCGTGTGTGTGTGTGTGTGTGTGTGTTATTTTTAGAAAATTAAATTTGAGGAGGCACTGCGGGTGTGTGTGTGTGTGTCCCTCCAAGGTCCTGCGATGCCCTATAAAGATGACAAAATTGCCCACATGCTCCTTTGAAGGCACAAGGGGACTGTCTGTATTAGCTATTTTTTAAAACAGTTTTTTTCAAATATTGAGAGTACTGGGGACAATGATGCTTTGAGCTACATGTTACCCTCACCTGCTTTAAAGTCACATAGATACCTGTATGTTTCCTCACTATGTGGCGGATCAACTGAATGAATAAAGTTTCACTGTACGGGACTGAACAGTTAGGATTGTTGATTCCTCATCCAGAGTGATTTTTACCATTTATATATTTATATGCTTCTCATAAGAGGTGTTTAACAAATAAGCAAACATTAATTAAAACTGGACCTCTCGACACATAGTCTTTGTATGAGATGGGGACCCAATAAATACAGAGATCTTTAGGTGAAATGAGCTGTCTTGTTTTTTCTGTGTGGTGCCTATACACCACAGAACACAGCAGCACATTTTGGGGCATCATTTCAGATCATTAAATTGTAATTAGAGTTCCAACTCTTGCCAGCTTCCTTGAAGTCAAAATCTCTTGCAGAGTAATACTTAAAAAGCAATACTTTCAGAAACCTCTGCATGTCACAGAATGAGCCCAGTTTGAGTCCTGGAATTCAGAAAGTTAACATCAACATTTTCTTGTTTCCAGAGTGATAAACTTCTTATGGACAGGATTCAGATGGGAAAGAAATTTTACCCAAACTACCGCTTACCTTGAAAAAATTGGAATTAGGGATGTTAGTAATTGTTTGACCTCTATTTCTAAAGAGGAGAATGAGTGAAGAGCTATTGGGGCATGGAAATGGGGGCTAAAAATCATATGATTCAACAAGCATGTCAGAGTTTGCTAAAAGCCATGTCTTTTGTAACATGGCTTATACTTTGTGGACACAATTGCCAGACAACCAGCCTTTTGTACACTGTGCAAAAAGTGCATCGTTTTCTGTTGGCATGACTGACATTTGCTGCAGGAAGGAGTCACGTTGGAATCTACTGCACTTCCATGCATCACACCTGGCATGGCGCAAGATAGTCTTGTGACCAGAGTGGGAAGAACAAAAGAGGCACTCTAGCCTATAGTCTTGTGATCAGGAGGAATGCTCTAGTACACATTGCTACTTCAGCCTGCACTGAGATCTTTCCACCCAATTAGTTATTCTTGCTACCCACTGTGGAAAATAAGAGGTTAAGCTAGACGTTGGTCTGATTCAATGTAGCTGGGCTTCTTTTTTTTTAATGTTATTTAGACATCAAACTGTAGGCTGCTAAATGATGTCTCAAAGTCAATTCTGTTTCTCCATCTGCCAAATTAATTGTTAGACCTCATACATCCAACTCTAAATACACTGAATTATAGATGCCACACACTGCTACACATCATATATATTAGCTCTTAGGTAAAAATACCAAATTCTCAGATTAATGTTTTAATGTTGTGTAACAATTTTTGAGTCCTATGCATTAAAAACCATTTCAGACAACAAAATACAGTATTTTAAATCTATTCTGCTACATAGATCTGTTTGCACAATGGAATGCTGTCACCAGCAGTGGTAGACCACCTGTAATTCAAAAGTTTCTTTTTCAGTTTTGGGGTGCACATGACTTCCACACAATGATATAAAGTTGCGCATGCCCAAAATTGAAAAAGAAACTTTTTATTTAGTATCAGTCCGATGATGATGATGAAGCAGGAGGGGCTATACAACAGGATACTGGGCAATGTATAAATTAAGTTGGCTGGAGCCAAAAATTGAGAGTTTGATTCTCCACTGTGCCTTGTTATGTATAATTAAGGTGGGCTGGGCAATGTATAATTAAGTTGGCTGGAGCCAAAGATTGAGAGTTTGATTCTCCACTGTGCCTTGTCGAACAGCCAGCCTGTGTAACCTTGAGCAACCTGCACTGTCCCGGATCACCCTCAGAAGAAAGGAATTGGAAAACATTTCTGTACTTCTTTACGTAGAAAACTCTGGTTAGGGTTGCCTTAAGTTGGAATCTATCTTAGTCTGTTATCATTTGTTTTACATTGCGCTTGATTGCCTTATTTTGATGTTTTCATACACCGCTCAGAATAGTGCTTGCAGTAATGGTGTGGTAAATAAACAAATAAATATCAGACAGCTTTCAATTATTATTGCACGTAGTATTATGAACACACTAGAAAACAATAGAACTGTGGTTGGCCATTTTAATATTTCGAATGATATTAATTACAGTATCTGCAGACTGAAATTCTTTGCTGGTCTTGCTGTAAAACAATAAACATTCATTATAGCTGAATTATAAAGAGGAAGGGAAATCTCATAACCTAAAGCCTCTTTGGACTGACTATTTCATTTGTTGTGTTTAGGGAGTCTGTGCTGATTTCACATCAGAGCAGATTGGAGCAGCTGCAGGAAACATTAAGGCAGAAGGTGCTGAATGAAAAGAGCTGGCAGGAAAAGGTAATAGTGGGATTTCCAACTATCGCCATGTTGTTCCTGTTAACTTTAATCAGCTGTCATGCAAAAGCATCCAACATTCATTTCTTAGTAGCTTCTGTTCTACTGTTCTTTAGTATTTTTCATCCAAAGTTAAGGTGACTCCACAAAGCAATATCATTTGTTTATTTATTTAATAAAAATTGCTATACATGGCTTTATAGAGCCCTAAAGGCAGCATATAATATTAGAAGTAAAAACACCAGAAACATTGCATAAAAACAAATGTAAGAAATGTAGCAAGAATAATATAGAAGGTTACTCCAGTATTTTTATTAGAAGTAAAATGTTTGTTCATGTACCTCTGAATCTGTAACTCTGTGGATTTGTAGAGGAGGGTTTGGGCATGTTAAATACAGCTCAATTCAGTCTGCAACCTCAAATATGACCATGCTTTTTCTGTGTTTGCAAGTTCAGAGTCTAGTCCTCTTCTTCCGAAGTTTTTAATTCCTATCGTAAATTCTCTCTTCTTCCTTTCCTTGAATGCTGAAGCAATCACCATACAATTCTCATGGCTAGCAGCCATCTCACTGCTCATTTCCTTTCTTATTCCCTTTGCTGGGACAGCTTTTATAGTTAAGGATTAAATTATCATGTTATTTGTTTTGTTTATAAAACTTCATTTCTGGGAGAGTTCTGACTTCATCGATGTGGTTTTTTGCAGAGTGTGTTCTAAGGACACTCTGCAATCCAAACCTTGATCCAGAACTACTTGTGCTGATATCCTGTGTACTTGTTCCACAGCTAGCTCTGTCACGGACAGACAGGAACCTCTCCTTCAGAATAGTGGCATGATGGCAATGCAGCATCCTCCAGCATTCTTGAGTTAACACACACACACCAGTCATTTGTATGTTCCAGAAAACCGTACTCCCGGAGCACATCATTTCGGGCACCTTGGAGGCATCTGCCTTGTATAGTGCTTAGAGTACTAGACAAAGTATTGGGAAACCTGGTTCTGAATTCCCAACGGGCCATGAAACCCATTGGAAACCAGCTATATTCAGCTTGACCCAACTCACTATATTGTTGTGAGTGTAATGGAGGAAGAAAGAGAGCCTTGACCTTGTTGAAGGAAAGACAGGATGTAGCTGTAAAAATCAATTAAAAATTAATGAAAAAAATAGGCACATGCAAACCCAAACAGAATCAGAGTAGTCTTGGAGCAGAGGAAGAAGACACCGTTTACCTGGGTAGAGCAACACCACAATGGGTCCTTTGTATCCTGTTCAGCATTGGTAAAAAGATGGTCAATGATATGAACTGAGAAAAGGGGAAATTGAAATCAATACAGTAGGCTCAGTTGCTGACATCAAAACACAAGGTGAGTGACAACTGAACTCCCAATAAAGCCCAAAATTTCCCCTGGATATTGCAACTACTTAGGCACTAGACTGGGGTCTCAGGCTGAGGTCACTCCATGTTGACCTCAACCTGTATCCCGTTTGTCTGGTATAGAGTGGATTAGTAGTCTTCCACCTACACTTACAAGAAAAATATTTTGTTTGAATTAGTCTTCATTTTGCTTGATAGTAAAGTGCTATTCATAGCAAACAAAAAGCAAATGAACAAAACTACATGAATGTTTCCTATTGTTGCTTCTAGAACATGAACTTAAGCATTGCAGGACATCTCAAATTCAAATAATACAGTGGAATCTTATATGTTTCTAATAAGCCTTCCTGAGTTGAATGGGACATATTCCCAGAGAAGTATGTATACAGGATTGCATCTTAAGCGAGAACTTTTCTGAAATCTTATCATGGTAGTGAGGCTGTTCTTGGTCTTCTCAATTTCTGCAAGCCATACCTCTATTACCAGTAAAAAGAAGGAAATTTGGTCAAACACCAGAGATGGTGTTTTTTAAAAATCTTTTTTGAACTGTTCACACATGCATCAATTCCGTTAGACATCACACAATGCTTTTCAACAGAAAGTGTGAACTGACACCACTGAAACCCATTGTTTGGATATAATGCAAATTCTGATACATATTTGAATAGTGCTGGTTCTTTATAAACTTAAACAGTTTTTGGGGTGCTGTATTTAAGAGATAAACACAGTTGTACAAATAAGAAACAGATATTTTCAATCTTCTATTGCAGATGCTTAGACTGAGGAATCAGCAGTTTTTAACTTCCTTAAAAGTCTACTTCTCTTATTTTCTTCATGGCTGGTCATTGAACTTCATGTTTTGAACACCTGGCTTTCAGATATTCATATCTTTCTGCTCAGTTTATTCTGATTATATACACTCAACATAATTTTTGGCTTTTATTAATACATACATCAAGCTGTCTTACCTTACCTTACTTTCTCACACACAGGAATGAATTTTAGCAGGAGGTTAGCCTGTTTGCAAAATTAGAATCTCTTTGCAGCTTGCCATTTAAAATGGGTAATGAACTAATAGGAATAAGAGACAGCAGTTACATATTTGCTAACAGCTATTAAAATGCGCTGAATGTCAAGTGTGCGGAAAATGTTCTCATCAGACCAAAGAGATGTTGCTGTCTTTTTCTTGGGTCACTGTGCCATTACATAGGCATAATGTGTTCTCTTTTTAAAGAGAAAAATCTTTCAATCCATGTGTTTGTCAAAAGGGGAAAATCTCTTTCAGAATTAAGTTGTTTAAAGTGGTGTTTTCATGTTTAATGCATTGGGTAGGGAAAATGTTCTACAAGGGGAAAGAAATCAATTGTTGCTATGCAACTTGAACAAGATAATTGAGGAACATCTTTCAGCCTGCTTATTATTGTTATTATTAGTTACCCTAATTTCAGGTGTTAACCAAAAGTGAAACATTTGCATTCGGAGATCAGCTTCTAATGATGTCACTACAGACATATCAGCTGTTATTGTAATTTTCTGTTGACAATGTTTGGTGAATACTTCAAGCCCCTCCTGACCTGCATACTCAATAGACTCTTGTGCCACACTTCAGTAGTTTACCTAAAAGAATATTGTGTCCAGGTAGGAAAAACTCCACTTTCTTATACTGAGCACAATCTGAGCAGGGCTGAGTGAATAAGAACACCAGCATTCTGTTCCCACTATGGCTAGTCAGACGCCCATGCTCATGTGCAGGACATGTGCTCAACAACACTGTAGCACCTTGTATAAAGAAGCATTTGTCTATAATGCTGGGGATAATTTATAGCCATCATGAATAATAGGTATCGGTACCTTTATACTTGATGATCTTACCATTTGGTTTCACTGATGACCCCAGATTCTAATATTATGAGAGACGAAGAAAACTACTAGATCAGACATTTAGCAAAACAGGCACCCAAAGATTGAATGGGCACATACATGTGAATTATTCTTTTCTTGATTTCCTCTGAAAAAATTCCTTATACTTACTCCTGAAAGTTTCTACAATAGATTATAGTACCATGTTTTAAGATTGGAGAGAGAGTGTGTGTGTATACTGTATGTAACTCTGAGTTTCTAAAATCTGACAGCACTGTACAAAAAAACAGGAGGCACGTTTTATGGTTCAATGTTATTCTATCAACCTTAGCTTATTTAAATATATTGATTTGCGTATATTTTGGACTTGCCTGTCCTCAAGTATTTCATGGTTTCTGATGTTTATCCAGCTATACTGGACAAAATTCAGTTTCAGCACAGCTAATTCACAAACTTTTAACTAGTAAAGATATCACAAATAGCATTGCTATTGTGTGTTTATTTTTAAAGGACAGAATTAGGTAGGTAATATTTGTTGTTTATTCTAATATTATTTATTGTTATAACATTTGTAAAAAAAAGTTTGCATTTCTTGAAAATGTTCATGAGATGATAATAATGTCATGATAGTTCCTCAGATTAGAAATCTGAATTTAAAAGATCACCAGTTTTGTAGGCTACAGTGATTCCAATAATTTTCCTTTGAGATACAGTCCAGCTAGAACCTCTTAGAGCAATTAAACATTTTGGAAATCCATTTTTCATATATTAATTTACACATGTTCCCAGCTTTTTAAACAGTGAGGAGTCCATTGAAAGACCAATCTCAGAGATGACTTTGAAGGTTAGACTTACGACTCTGTTGGATCAAAAAGAGAGCAGTGGTGCAGTTACATTGTTTTAGACTGGAGGTTGAGGGGGAATATAAGTGTATTTTCCTAAAAAATGTGGTCAACCATCCTACTGTGTTTGGGGCCTCTCCTGATCATTCTGATGAATGGGGCTCTGGTTTGTTTGTTAATTAAGACCCTTTTGTGAAATCCCTGAACCACATCAAGAAAACTTTAAATCATTTCACATAATGTATAGATGACTGGCAGTTTGGTGGTTTTAAAAGAGGATTAGACTAGTCTGGTTTGATCACTCACAGCAGCTTTTATTAAAGGCCCAGAGTCAATGTCTACTGTCCTTTCCCTCGCATGCCCAAAGAGTTGGGTTTCCAGCACTAATCTCCTGGGGATAGTTAGTCCAGCTGGGCCCCCAGCTGACTTGACTTGGATTCCCGAAAGTCCAGGTCCAGCAAAGTGGGCAGGACGTATGGATCCCAATCTAGAGTGCAAGAGCTGGTAAAGTTGGGTGATGGGAGCCAGGCTCCATAGCATTGCTCCTCCCAGAGCTGCCTTTGCTTCACCTGTTGCTGCTTGTGTCTCCAGCCCTGAAACTGGGTTGGGACAGCAGAGATGCCAAGAGTAGGGTGGCGCTGGGTCAGCTACGGCTTGCATTGCCAGAGAGCCTCAGGTCCCTGACTCATTCATTGGCCAAACCATATGGGTAAGAGGAGGTGGCTCTCCTTGTCCTCTATCCCTATTTGCACCACCGTGGAGATGCAGAAGATGGGGTCCCAATGCTCAGCTGTTTCCCCTTCATTTGAGATGGTTGACAACAACCCTGAGCCCTGAAATGCCTGCCCTTTTATTCCCACTTTAGCACCCTCCTCCAATTGTTCTATATCAGGAAGTGGCGCTTCCTCTACCTCCAGCAGTGAATCCCTGCCAGCTGGGGTGCAGGAGGCTCACTCTCTTCTAGGATCCCTTGGGCTTGTGGGGTGGGGCCAGATGGCCTGCTAGGGCACTCGAGGCAACCCCCTCACAGCAAGTTTCCTTCACAGCTAACTTTTTAGAAGTATTTCGTGCTTATGTTTTCACTGAAAATATGGGGTAAATCCAGCAGATATTTATTTATGCCCAATCTTTTGCTTTTTAGGTCGAAGCTGAGAGGGCACAAGAACAAGCCTATCAAAAAGAACAAATTCAGAGACTCAAAGAAGAGGCCAGAATTGAATTAGACATTGAGAAACAAAAGCATCAGGAATTAATTGTGAAATATCAGAAAGATCAGGATGAGCTGTTACACACAAAGGTTTTAACTACTGGAAATAAACTGCTTCAAGATTCTTTCAAATGTGCAGGGAGAAAAGCTGTTCACTTAATTTAATCATGAAGGTCAAATGGTACAATGGAATTGTTAAACACAGTCAGAACGTCCCAAGTTCCTTTCAGATTTTGATGACCTAGAGCTGACATTAATAAACAAACCCAGAATCAGCCATTTTTTGTTGACAGGGCAAGCAGAGGATGTGTCAGTCACAGCACAGTATTCAAAATAAGAGCATTTATACTATGAAAGTCTGGGATTGTCATCAGCTTCAAACATGGTCCTATATGGGGCCATTTACAAATCATTGTTCTCTTTGCATCGTTTAGAAAAAGGAGCCTTGCTTCTGTGCATACTTGATCTTTCATAGGATCAAAGGGGATACACATTTCCTGAAATTAACAACATTTTCTCATTAAGCACACAATTTCTTCAGAGCTTCATGCTTGAGCAATTAGGCTTGGAAATAATTATAATCTTAGAACTGCAGAGCTGAAAGGGACCCTATGGATTAAGGAGACAGAGTGGGGAATTGAACTCCCCACCTCTTGGCTCCACAGCCAGAGGAACCAGAGGAACTATCCAGCAGTTCATCCTGTGTTTACTGTATTCCATGTGTAACTCTTGAATGGATATAGGCAAGCCCAGAACTGTTACATAATAATAGCTTCCCGAGGACATGGGGGGGGTGGAATGGGGGTGTTCTGCTGCATCCCTGCAACAGGAGTAGTTGAATGATCCCACCATACATACAAACCCTCCAATATAGAGATGTAGGAAAATTCCCTGTTTTCAGGAAAATATGGTAGGAATGTAACATCAGAGGAGCAAATCACGTAAAGATGCTTCTTTGTGAGCGAGGCTTCTGTGCTCACAGGAGCTATCATTTATTTCATTGATTACTCATGGATGCTCCAGGACTTTTGCTTTGAATAGCTCTGCTATTATTCATTTGATAAAGATCAGCTCAGACTTTCTCTCTGGGTTTAAGAAGCCTGGTCATCTTTGGAGATGCCATGCTTTGGACTGTCATTAGGTAAAGCTGGATATCAAGGACAGGGCCTTTGCCATGGCGGCTCTCCAGCTGTGGAACTTGGGAAATCAGCAAGCTTCCTCTCTTGCCTCTTTAGACATGTTGCAAAATCCTTTTTGTTCCATAATTATTGTTTTCTATTAGCAAGTTTTACAATGTTTATGCTAACTCTTAGACATTGACAAGAACCCTATAGTGGATTTGTGTACAATGTAACTGTAGTTGTGTAAATCATGGCAGCGAATTGCCACTAATTAGCATGCTGCCATTCTTAAGCTGTGTCAAGTTGCATGATTGGTTCATGACTAAGAACTGGTGTAAATTCACAATAAGGTACTGACTCCTCTTATACAGCTTTCAGTTAATATATGCTATGATACTCTTTTCAGTAGTTCTGAATTACTGCTTTTACTCATATTGTAAGCCATCCTTGGAAGATTTGATTTTGAAAACGGGGGAATGAATGAATGAATGAAATAATAGTAAATGCTCCCTGCTCAGCCAATTTATTCCCTTCATGATGTTGTGCATATTGCTTACTATCATCCTCTCTTAATATTCTTCTTCTGTAAAACACTTTTTAAAATGCCACTCATTTTATAAGACTACAAAGTATTGTTGGTCTACATCCTTATGATGTGGTGATTTTACATCATACTCCCTGTCTTAAAATCTCTCATGTTTTAAATCTGTTTAGCTAAGGGAATGAAGTAAATGAATCTCAGATTTGTCTTTCAGATACCTCTGCTGATATCCAGTGCTACCCATAGCCTGAAGACGGAAATTGAGGCACTTGAAGAGAAGCTCCAGGTAGCCCAAACCAAGCTTACAGAGAAGAATGAAAAAAGAGAACAAAAATGGCAAAGTGTTAAAAACCAAGTTGCGGAGCTTGAAATACAGTTGAAAGAAGAACAGAACACACACCATTCAATAACAGAAGAAATGAGACAAGAAATAAAAAAGAAGTCTTATGAGCTGGACAGACTGACTGATGAACAAACACAGTTGATTCAGAACTTGAATCAAGTTCAAGAGGAGGTATGAATTCTGTGAAGGTTTAGACTTCATTAATCATTGATGTCTTAAACTCTTTTCATTTATTGTCTTGGTTGAGGCATAGCAATCTTGGTCCAATAAACATTGCTGAACAGAAATCAAGATACGTGCAACACATTCATGCACCTTGTTCCAAAATATCTTGGCTCCTTATACCACTGCTTCTTATGATTTCTGAACTGGAAAACTGGTTTGAGCGATTTTACAAATAAAAGGATGGTCAAAACAAGATCAAATTTTGATTTCATATCTTGGTGTATAAAAAGTGTTCAAACCCATTTATGGTTTAGCTGTCATAGGAAACTTTTGAGAAACCAAGGGATATTGAACTAAGGGACAGCATAGAGAGAAGACACAGACACATAGCTCATTCTCAATTGAACAAACCAATATGAGGGTATCATATTCTGGATATATGACAAGAGTCTTTGGAAAAGTCAACAGTGCTCAGAAAAGAAGGGAATAAAAAGGAGGAAGACCTTTTAGTCAGTAAAAGAAGCCATGGCTTTTAAGTTTGCAAGAGCTGAGCAGTGCTGTTAATGAAAGGAAGTGATTGATTCCTAGGTTTGTCATAAGTGAGAAATGACTTGACAATGCTGAACAAATAAAAACAACACTGTTGATCAATGAAAGCAGAGACAAAATCTATAGTTCCACAGGACATTTGTGAGGACAAATTAAAATTCCACAAAACTGCAGGCTTTCAAGTTCTCCAGAACTATGCATCAGGATATGTAGCATAAAAATCAGAATTGAGGGTGGAAGCAGCAGTGAAAAGAAAATTGCAGTTAAGTTTGGCCGGATATTGTTGTGGCCATGAGGTCCACTGTTAGTTAATCTCAGAACCAAGATGGTGATTTCACACTGGAGAAGGCAAGTGCGCAGATATCAGATTATAACAAGCAGTCTTGACTATGATGAAGAAATGATGGCTGTCCATTTCTCCAAGGCTTGAGGCAAGTGATACTGCAGACATTTCTAGATGTTCTGATTTTCCTAGGAAGAACGAACAGTGATCTCATCCTGACAAGGACTTCCATTGTCAGCAGATCATTCAAGCTACTTGTTTGAAAAGTAGGCAGCTCACATTAATACCAGTTGTACTGCAGCACAATGATGTTTCTGTTGAATTATACCCTCTGACCCATGAAAGTGGGCTACGCTCTATTTATGAACATAAATGCAGCTTGAGTATCTAATATTAATATCACTGGTGTGTGTTTTTTCAGCAGTTTTAAACCCTTTCCTCCCAGTTAACCATAACAACACTTCTATTCATGAAATCATCAAACTGAAGCAGGCAAGTCGGGGGAGATATTAGAGATGTGATACGTTCACACGATACTGAATCCCGACCCCAGCACCTTCCAAATATGCAGGCCTACAGTTTTTACTGTTCCCAGCCGTACTGCCTAGATACAATGGGGATTGTAGTCCTATAGGGTTTAACAAAGTGTGGCTCATGGGCTACATGCAGCCCCCAGCCATTTTTGCATCCCCAGAATCTCCCAAAAGGAAAAGGAAAACAACACAGAATTGCTGTTGCAGACTATGGTGTCTCTAGTATTTATACAGCTTTGCAGCAGCAGTGAGCTGCACAGCTATTTTCCTTTTCAGTTAGTGTGATTTTATTCAATTCACCACTAAAACCTATGAAAATTAATTTTTAGTATTTAAAAAAATGTAAATTAAAATTAATTAGCCAATTGTCCATGCCTTTGTACTTTGGCTATGCCTCTAGGATTCGTGGCCCTTGGGATGCTAGCAATTTGGGAAAGAGGCCCTTGAGCCCTCCAGGTATGCCTACTCCTGACCTACACCATCTGGAAATCAGATGTATTTGTCAGGAATGGGAACGCAAGTGTGTTTTCACCAGATCAGGACCAGAGAACATAGCTGGTGATATTTGAGGAACATGGATACCTTGTTATCTATAATATGGCCACAAGTGTTTCAGTACATAACCTGTTTCCTGCGCACTCAGTTCTCTAAGTACTCTCGATCCGGAGGAATTCGGAAAGCACCCGGGATTCCTGCCCTCTTTTGTTTTTGTCTTGACAATGTCTGATGAAATATGTGTTTCTTTTTTCCTTGCAGAATGCTCTTCTCCAGGACACAGTGCGCAGGGAGTGTGAGGAACGCTATGAGCTCACTGAAGCTTTAGCTCAAGCCAGAGAACAAGTTGTGGAGCTAAAAAAACTCAGTGGAAACTTCCCGTTGTCACACTGTTCTCTTAGTCAGGGCAGCCTAACCTCTTCCACCCCGTCGGTCAGCAATCATGGGCAGAAAAGCCCAAGCTGTGGGAAAGGAATAACACACTCAGGCCTTTGTAGGATTTCAAGAGCCACTAAAGCACCGATTTGCAGTAAGTTCAAAAGCAGCATGGACACAAGCTTACCTGCTTTGCCAGCTCTACAATCCCCAGGTGGTCGAGTGGCTTCCCTAGATGAATCCAGAAGGAAGAGGATCACCGCGGTTATAAAAAGACAGCTGAGTGAACTGTGATGAGTGAAGGGCCACATTCTTTTGATAAACGAGGGTAGCCAAAGAAAACCATTGGCACAAGTCAAACGTTAGCCAATATTATTTTCTGCCAAGCCACAGTTTTATAGAAGTAACATCAAATTATGCTTAAAAGTCATTTTATAAAAGAACACTCAAATGTTTATGTTCCAGAATGTAATCATGAATCAGCATTTTCCTCAATAAATGTTGGTGATTTAGGTCTAGTTGTTACTGAGGTAGAAAAATTATGTCTGGGCTTACTGATTGTTTCAGTTTACATTGTAAGTAGATGCTTGTGTGATTTAACATATCTCTATACAAAACACTCCCTCCATAAGCAAAACCGTCAGAGAAAAGCATGCTGGTGTAGCCTAGTCCCACCACACAAAATTAGAATGTGAAGACAGATGGGCTAGAACTTTTCCCCCCTTTTCTTTTTATTCCCTAACCCCTTTTTCAACAGAGAAAACTGTTGTGTATTAAATGAGGCATTGGCCACACTAGGAAAGTGGGTGTTACAGTATTTTATTATTTATTTATTTATTTGGCTTTTACCCCCATCCATCTAGATTCTAAACAAATCTACTATGGGCGGCTTACAGTCCAAGCAATATAAAACCAAGAATTAAAACAAACAATATCAAACAATGTCAGTAAAAACAAAAACAAACAAACAAGCAAATGTCCTTAGCTGTCCTGGCGTATCTCCACATTAGATCGTTCTCCTGAGTCCCTTTTCTCAGTATGCCAATTTGGTGATGTGAATTCGCTTTGAATCAAGGTCTGAGGCTAGCTGTAGTAACAGCTTTAAGAAATCAGCTTCCTCCACAAGCTTCTGCTTAGCAAATCTCATTTTTCTTGCATATCCACATTTTCATCTCCAGGCCTGAACTGCTGTTGTTACCATGAGTCCTAGTAAGAGCCCCACCCCAAACTTTCAAAATTCCATGAAACATGAAGCATCTTGTTCAGCCAGAACTTTGCTGATGTTTTTGGTTTCTTTCATAGGAACAATGATGTGATTCACTGGCTGCAAGGTTTGGTGGACTTTGGTGCACATTTTGTCTCCTTGCAGAATAACACGACAAAAAGAGCATGGTTTGTTCTGGAATATTCCTTTAGTTGGGATACATTTGAAGAACTCCAAGGAGGTGATATTTGCGGTGGCTTTGGTATGTTCTGTGTCCAGTATGATTTCACTAATAGAACGGTATGATCTCTTGTCTGGAACGAATCAGGAATGGTTCTGCTGAATTACTGTCTGCTCCACTGGAAGACTGAAGCACAGAAAAGCTGCCATCAGGGTTAAATATGTTCAGTGAATGGGATAGAGATAACTCAAGTACTGTATGGATGAGACCGAGAAAACATTTCAACATACTTTACTCCCACATTCACGTTTTGGCACAGTTCTGTGCCAGTCGAAAAAGGAAAAGGTTAACTTTCACTCTCCTAGAAATGCAACATTGTCAGTCTTATCCACAGATCTGGAAGGCTGCAGTAAATGGATTTAGTAAATCATGACAAGAGACCAAAAGCCCATATAGTATAGTATTATCCTAAGAGGATGTCATGAAATAATGCACTCTGGTGATGTGATTGTACTATCTATGATGGGGCACCCTTTATGGAGTGGAACAGGTGATATGTGTCTCTGCTGGGTAGCTATATTGTGGAACTGCAGACAATCTGGCCTCTCGTATTAAAACCTGAGCATGTGATTGCTCATAGGACAGTAAAAATAACTATTATAATCATTATAGTTCAGAAAACTGACTGCTCAGTCTGCTGTCCAGCTGCAAATACTGTAGTAGCTTCAAGTTTGCCTCTATCCATTTTAATGGTGAAACTGTACCTGCAGTCAACTTCAGGAGTGTGCTGTATTGTATAGTAAGACAATATGGCTGCCCTATGGTCATTCTAAATGCTATTGCATCTGTAGCAGCCATAGCCAGGTGTTTTCTGAGTGAAAATACAGTGGCCGATGGCTAGTTGGAACAGAAGGGAGTTTATAAATCTTCCAGGATCAAAGTGCTACAAATGCCAGTGCAAAGAGAGCAAGCCACCCTAGCTGGTGTTAGTGTGACAAAAAGATAGTAGAATGCTTTTAATTTCCCTTTTAACTTTCTGAAGTCTTTAGAAAACAGCTAATACCAATGGAAATGTTATGGGACCATAATAAAATTGCCAGTTCGGCAACATTGCATTCCCTGGACCAAAACCTGAGACCGGGGGTGGAGGGGAGGGAGCAGGGTCTTGGAGTGCCACAGGGTAAGCACCTGTGATGTCATAGAGGCAGGCTAGGCAAGAATTTGGAAGGTGAGCAAGATTTACTTTTGGAACATCTGATTGTGAAAGTAGGTGTAGGGGGAAATCTGGTTAAATGGTCTCAGAATCTGGGTAAAACCTGGCTAATCAGTTAATATAGCAACCTGAGTCGAGCACAGTGGCAGTTGCCCACTGGGTGTCCCCCATGTCTCCTACTACTACGCCTGATTTTTGGTCAACCAACAGTTATGCAAACATGACATACAAATAATGTTGTACTAAGCCAGTTGAGTCCAGGCACCAGCTAGCAATAGGTGGAGATAAGATAACTTTGAAGCCACCTTAGACCCACCGCACCAATCATCCTTCTTCCCCCCACAGTGTCACATCCTGAGATTTGTTTTCCTGCCTGAAGACCTGAGGAAGGGCAGTGGTTCCCTGAGGTGAAACCTTGAACCCTAGCAAACCCAGTCATAGTCAAATGAATTGTATACCACATTTCCCAAAATGTGGTGTATATATTTCACCTGTGTTGATTAAACCAGTTGACAAAAACTAATAAGTGTAGTTATCATAATTTATAGATAGGTAGGTGTCTAGCAGAGACAGGTATGGCCTGGTAGGTCACTCTGTCCAGCCATCCTCAACCTTTTTTGGGCCATGGGCATAAACACAATATGAAAGAAAGATAGGCTGAGTCAGGATTTTATAAGTCCTATAAGGAACCTTATAAGATAGTGTGTGAAGAATTGATATAACGAACCTTATAAGGTAGTGTGTGAAGAATTGTTTTCAGTCTGTGGCCCTCTTCAGATGTTCCAAGGCCTCCCACGGGGCCATATGTCCTTCATTGAGACTCTGTTGCTGCACAAACAACGATCATGTGACTTAAAGACTAAGATATTTATTTGGCAGATGCTTTCATGGAATGCTTCTTCAGATACATGGACACATCATAATTTTAGTTCATATACAATTTGTTTAGATGGTTCAAAAGTTTAGAAGAAACCAACCAAGTCAATGACACCTTTCAAATACCAACAGAGTCATATAATCATAGAACTTCAGGAGTAGCCTTGGGGAAGGAACCCCAGGGCTGCTACTCCTAGTACTGAAATACAGTACTAGCATTGGTCAGATGGAGAAACCTCTTCCCTCAGCACATACCTTTGTTAAGTAGCATGGTGAAAAAGACACTTCAGGAACCTTCAAAACATATGTCTCACTAGCCTTTCTGTCCCCCCATCACCAGCTGCAGGGAGTATGCCACACCCAAAATGTCATGCCACCCCCTCACAAAGAAAACAGGGCTTGATTTTCTTTTTTGGAGAGTAGCTTAAATTACTCCAAAAGAAGCCTTTGAATTTCTGTAACTCACTCATCCTTCATCGAGATTCTAAAAGTGGATATTACTGGGTATGATGTTCCTTTTACCCTTTTTAAAACACGACAAATTACACAAAGAGAGGGAAGAGAAGCAGGCAGACACATGTGCACCAAACTTTATTTTCAAAAGATCATCGCAAGCAAGGTCTCGTTTCATGGAAAATGTGAGCACTAGAGATCTATTTTGTGGAACAGACAACCTGAAGCTTTCACATTGTGCTATGTGAACTCCACCCCAAAAAGATGAAATAGTCAACTTTCTCCACAAGAGACAAACCCTTTACAGTGCCATATGGTTGCCTGGCCTCCAAGAGCACCAGTAAGATGACAAACATTCCATCATTAAAAGTTTTCCATCTGGATTTTTTTTCTCATGAATATAATCCTGTGCCAGGATATAAATGACCCTGCGTTCCTGATGAATAAAAGGAAGTTCTCTTTGTACCCGCATGCTAGCAAAGATTCCGTTATCAGAGAGTTACACAGAGTTCTTTACACTGCAGTATACAAGGGAAACAACCTAATTGTTCTGATTATTGAAACGAGGGGAAAAAAGAGAGATCTGTATATTGGAATTAATATGATTTGACGAAGTTTTTCAGTGTCCTAAGTGGGCAACCATTAACTATTAATTTTGTATTCAATACAGTGCAGTAGTTAAAAGTATTTCACTGGGATCTTATAAAAAATTCCTAATGGGGAAATGATTGACTGTTAACATATCTTAGAATAAATACCCAATATTACTAGCGAACGTACCGTACCTGTCACAGGACAGAATGTTATTTCATAGGCTCCCAAAACTCTTGACCCTAAGGGTTAGTAATACAGCACAATCTAGCCAAAGACGCCTAGTTCTGGACTGCATCAGCCTGAAGATCACAGCGTACTGTGTTATTAACACAAATCCTTTCACACCAAAATTACTGGCTAGAATTTGCTGCAAAACCCAGCTGTGAGTCAGTAAGACTGGGGGCTTTGTCTTAATCAAAATGGCTTCCATTGCTAGTCATCCACACTGCTGGAGACTTGACACATGTCAACAGACAACATTGTCTTGCTGGATGTCTTCGGTATTTTTACTAATGCATTCATCCTTGCAAATACCAGTTCTCTCTTTAAAAAAAACTTTTATTATAAATCTTACCCCTTTTCAGGAGTGGGACTTCTAAGACTTGAACATGTATTTTAATGTTAGATACCTATCCAGAAATTGAAATAATGATTTTTTTTTGGGGGGGGGGAGGACAGCTCTCCAAATAACTCAACTAGCATGGCCACTTGCCATGGTGGCTGAAGTATTTTGGGAGTTGTAGTCGAAACAAGTAATTTCTCTCATCTCACTTCCCATGAACATGATAGCGTGGAGTTAATAACAAGCATCAAGGTGCTTAAAAATAATTATTACTTTGGTTACAGTTGACCTCCTGGGTTAATAATTACGTCAGTCTTTGGATATTTATTGCACAATCCACTCCATTTGTACTCTAAGCTTTCTGTGATTGCAAACCTGCCTTCGTATGTGAGACTTCCCTATTCCACACTATATTAACATTTAATCTGAAATCTA